CTTAACGTGAAACATCTCCAAAAAAGGCAACAGAGTGTAGGGAAAAACATATCTTGTTGTTAAGGAAAAACTTCAATGTTCGAATTTCGAGAACAAAATTAATATCCTTAAAGCTCTTAAAATTTGAGCAAGCATTCATCAAAAACTCATCAGCAAGTATTAATCAAGAACAAATGAAAACTTTCCGTATATTATTTAATTTATCAAATTTGAGAAAAGGGACAAACAGGTATCCTCGATTCCGGTGGGAAATCTGAAACCACATCCAACTTTCGAAAGTAGGAGTCGATCACGTTTTTCGTGATCTTAACACTTCTGCTGTTTGATAGTGATATTGGCTCTCCTTATAACAAAAATCAAAAATAAACTGAAAAACAAATCAGAAAACAAACCGCGAAAAATGAATTTGTGCCTAATCAAATTTATACTTTTTCCTATTAAAACAAGAAAAAAACATCTCGACCTATTTAGGTGTTTTAACTACGTTCATTGACCATTGTAAACTTGAAGTTTTCTGAAAAACAAATAGAACAATAGACATTGGAAATCCTGCGCGATCGTTATTTTATTGATGAAGAATCATAGAACATGTAACAACAAGTAACCTCATCCAAAAATAGTTATCTGGTTATCTACGTACGATAATGCTTACTCACACAGAGGCGAAGCTGTACTTCGGAAACAAGCAAAATAACTGCAAGAAATAGATCTAAAAACCAAAAAATACAGGTAAAACACAGAGGCGAAGCGAAGCCTTGCACCACTTGCGATGCAACACAAACATAAGTCGAAAAAATAATGAAAAAAAACCAGGTGCCCCAAAAATTTTAAATCTCTCGATACTGTGTTATATACTGATGAGGGGTGAATTTCACAAAATCAAAAAACGGAATTCGCTCAAAACCTTAGTTGCTCTATTAAAGAAAGAGTGATAATTTATGAGATATGAGAATTTTACCAAAGACATGACATTTTTCTTCTAAAATAAAAAGTCTGCAGGAAAAATTTTCGCGAACGATTTCTTGAATTGTAACCTTCATATCAAATTTAGTAGGGTAGGTTTTACCGAAAGCCAAGAAGTTTCAAAAAATTGTCAGAAATTCAATAAACGCATTTTAACTAGTATACGAAAAAGTTCATTAAAACATCCGACCCTGCCCAGGTTCGAACCCTCTTAATTTGTTTCTGGTCTCATTCCCTATCTCTACGCTACAGATCCATGATACCTTGAAGCTTAAGTGCTATTTGTAATGTAATAGTCTGCGTTAATATCCTTAGCATTGGCTGTACTTAATAGCTGGTTATTGATTAAAATGAACACTTTTAAAATAAAAACATTTTATCGCAACAGTATTTGCGTCGCAAGAATATTTGCTACTTAGGTTAAAAAAAAAGATAGTTCATACTATAACACAAGCATTGCTTGTGTAAAAAAGGTTTGAAATTTTTTTAGGTTTTGTTTTTCTAGTCAGTTGTCTAAAGAAATTTTTTTCCCATAATTATCGTATTTTTTTTAACTATCGTATTTTTTATTCATAAAAGCGCTAAAATACTTAAAAGATAACTTTCTTTGACTAAAACTAAGCTTTTAGGGCTTAAATTAAATTAAGCTATTGTAAGCTTTTAAGCCATTAAAATAAAATATTGCTTTGGTAGCTGATTCGTCACAGAAAACAAAAAAAAAGAAAACTAAAACTGAGTACAAAGTTCCTCCCCGTTTTTTCCAAATATTCGGTAGAACAAGGATAGCCGGTAACTACACAAAAAATAGCATAGAATCTTCCGGACACAGTAAAAAGTTTTTTTTTTAATTTAAGGTCTTTTTTTCTGCGTGGTAAGATAAAAAGAACTGAACGAAAAAAATAGAACTTAGGCTCATTTGACATTCATAGCAAAATAGGGCAATTGCAACAATTTTCTGTAAAAAAATGATTAATAAAAATAGTTTAAAAAATTTTTGATTCCCAAATTGCCGCTATAAATTCCGAAAATAAACTTTACTCGATTAAAACTAAGTTTTCATGGCTTAAATTAAGCATGAATAAGCTTATGTAAGCCAGCTCAGCCTCACCTTATTAGCTGGCTTATATTGCGCGTTAATTGTCCCAAATTGGCAGTTTTTATTATACCCCCATAACTTTACGAAAAATGATCACAGGTGAAATCCGACTTTCGTCGGATCTCAAACCTTTCCAAATTTAAGCTCAGGACATCAATACTTTTTGAATGATATAAGAAAATCCCGTCAAAAAGGACTAGTTAAAAGTCTAAATTTGTCTGAAAAAAACCACCCCGATCACAAGCAATCCATTACTTTCGTTACAAAAGTCGGAACAATCATAGTCTGAGTTAAAATCCTGAGCATTTGCTGTAGCTAATAGCTGGTTATTGATTAAAATGAAAACTTCCAAAATGAACTCATTTTGCCGCAGTAATATTTGCGTCGCAACAATAATTGCGACTTAGGTTGGAAAAAAAAGATATTTCATACTATAACACAAGCATTGCTTGTGTAAAAAAATGTTTGAAATTTTTTTAGGTTTTGTCTTTCTAATCAGTTGTCTAAAGAAATTTTTTTCCCATAATTATCGTATTTTTTTTTTAATTATCGTATTTTTTATTCATAAAAGCGCTAAAATACTAAAAAGATAACTTTCTTTGAGTAAAACTAAGCTTTAAAGGCTTAAATTCAATTAAGCTATTGTAAGCTTTTAAGCCATTAAAATAAAATATTGCTTTGGTAGCTGATTCGTCACAGAAAACAAAAAAAAAGAAAAAAACTAAAACTGAGTACAAAGTTCCTCCCCGTTTTTTTCAAATATTCGGTAGAACAAGGATAGCCGGTAACTACACAAAAAATAGCATAGAATCTTCCGGAAACAGTAAAAAAAAGTTTTTTTTTTAATTTAATGTCTTTTTTTCTGCGTGGTAAGATAAAAAGAACTGAACGAAAAAAATAGAACTTAGGCTCATTTGACATTCATAGCAAAATAGGCCAATTGCAACAATTTTTTGTAAAAAAATGATTAGAAAAAATAGTTTAAAAAACTTTTGATTGCCAAATTGCCGCTATAAATTCCGAAAATAAACTTTACTCGATTAAAACTAAGTTTTCATGGCTTAAATTAAGCATGAGTAAGCTTATGTAAGCCAGCTCAGCCTCACCTTATTAGCTGGCTTATATTGCGCGTTAATTGTCCCAAATTGGCAGTTTTTATTATACCCTAATAACTTTACGAAAAATGATCACAGGTGAAATCCGACTTTCGTCGGATCTCAAACCTTTCCAAATTTAAGCTCAGGACAACAATACTTTTTGAATGATATAAGAAAATCCTGTCAAAAAGGACTAGTTAAAAGTCGAAATTTGTCTGAAAAAAAACCACCCCGAGCACAAGCAATCCATTACTTTCGTTACAAAAGTCGGAACAATCATAGTCTGAGTTAAAATCCTGAGCATTTGTTGTAGCTAATAGCTGGTTATTGATTAAAATGAAAACTTCCAAAATGAACTCATTTTGCCGCAGCAATATTTGCGTCGCAACAATAATTGCGACTTAGTTTGGAAAAAAAAGATAGTTCATACTATAACACAAGCTTTGCTTGTGTAAACATAAAAATCATTCTAGTTGAATTACCAAATACAGTAATTAAATCGGCCCATGAAAGTTTTTAGTTCGTAAAGCTAATTTTCATCAGTCCACAAGAAATAAAATTACCTAAAAAAATACAACAGTAAGTAAAGAAGGTCGATAATACTTATACAAAAAATAACTTACAAAAACTTCGTTTTGAATCACAAAAAAAATATGGGTTGATAAGTTGATACCGACCTTGAACTCGTCTCAATGGAATTGCTTGTTCTAAGCGCTCAAAATTTAAATTATATGAAAGATAATCACTTACTGTATGAGATCTTTTTCCTCGGTTTCCTCCGCTTCTTGACGTTTCATAACAGCTTCTATCAGCTTGCGCTCTTCTTCGGGTAGATAAGATAGGTCGGGGACTTCAGGTGGATCCATTTTATCGGTTGTAACCTGTCCGATGGCAGTAGCTGGTCGAGGATCAAGCTCTTGTGGTGAGGTAATCGAAATATCCGGAATTTTTTGAGCAGGTGCTATTGTTGTACAGTACGGACTTTGATATGGAATGTAACCGTTGCCAGAAGCAACTGGCTTCGTTTGATTTGAAGGTATTCCGTTTCTACCGGCTGATGAAAATGAGTTCGAAGCAGCACTGACATTTGGCTGACTCTGTGACATATTGTTAACTGCTGTCATATTCTTCAATTTTGAATTTGCCCCTTCGATGCTTTGGGTCAATAAACTCACTGTAGATACAGCGGATCCAAAGAAGGAAGACATCATCTTTTATCGGCTTAATCAATCACATTTCTGGAACCGAAAATGCCAACTCCTTTTAAACAAGTATTCCATCTAAAGGCGCATTTGAGATGCAAACTAATGACCCCAAAAGCGTTGACACTTCCTTAAAAACATCATTGGAATACAACAAAAAACCGTAACGAAAGAAAACCACCAGATCCTTGAGATATACGGCCTGGGCACTCAAAGACGTAGCAAATAGCATATACATATATATTAAATTTAGGAAGTTTCGGTTCAATCTGAAAAAGCTCTCGTTACCCCTGAATACAAAACAGACGATACGCAAAAAGCATAAATTATTATTTATTATACATCAGTAACGGGTGAAATGTGTAAAGTTAACGATGAACTTCGATATAAGCAAATGAGCGATTACTTCCTGAAAGATAATCGTTATACACAAGTTGATTTCCGATAATCACACTCAACAACAGAAAAAAAAACATTTTAATTGCAAAATGAAATTTTCAATGTAACCAGAAGGTCAAAAGTATCATTGTAACCGAGGTTACAGTCATGAGTCCCTTCATCATGTATTCCGGTCAAAATCCTTGGAATTTTCTAGATATGGAAGTGATAATGGTAAAAGAAGATGTTTAAATGTTTAGCCTAATTGTTGTGATAAACTTATTAAATAGATTTGTTAAGTTTGATGTTTGTGCCTGTATGTGGACCGCCCTCTGAGGGATTTTAGAGACAGGTCTGTCAAGTGGCTTTCTGTGGGGAGGTGGGGAACTGGAACTGGCTTGAGAAGTCTGGTGGTGCGCCGCTGAACCTACTGAGCTCGGGTGAGATTGTTCCTTGTTTTTGATTTTTAACCTTTATGCTGCCTTTTAACCTTTTAAATTAATTTAGTTGTCTTTTTTTTATTTGCTGATTTGTAAAATTCCCACTAACCGCTTATCATGGGTTAGTTCAGTCCCCTAAAGTCCAGTCAAAATCCTTTTTTTTTACCTTTATGCTGCGTCAAGATGAGGAAAAACAACAAAGAGTGTACAAGCAAAGATTGCTTAAAACCTTCAGGACTGATAAATTGGATTAGATGTGATTGTTGTTCTAGTTGGTATCATATCAGTTGAGTAAATATTTCTCTTAGCGACTCTAAGAAAACCCAATGGTTTCAGTGTCCTTTATGCGTTGATGTAAAATCTGTTAATAAAGCAACAATAGGTAATGATTTAGTGCTAGACAATTATGTTAATACAGCCATCTCAAATGTCCGAGTACTCAAGAGAGTACCAAAAGACTCGCGTGTTCCCTTGGCGGAAAGTCTGTCGGAAAAAATAAATGACATCGTCTACAATTTAGAAGATGTTGCAAAATGGCTAATTTTTTTGACGTCGTTCTTGTTTTTTTTTGGAGCAACCGAAAAGAAGTGGACGCAAACAGACCACAAGCATGAGCTCTTTGATAAAAAAAAAATTCGAGCAAATGACGTGTCACTTCCAAAACCCCATCCCCAAGTTTCAAGCCCGCCTCTGAGTGACCTCGAGCAGAGAATAAAGTTAATAAGTAGTAAGCTCGATGAAGGAAATGTAAAGGGAGGAATAAGGCTTGCTGCTTCGGATGACAAAATAGCTCCTTTTTCAACTGATAACTATCAAAAATTGTTGTCTAAGCACCCGCAGCGAGCCAAATTTGCAGCTCCAAATCCAGAAAAGTTGGATAATTTTTGCGTAACCGATTTCGACCTATACAAAGCGATAATGTCCTTTCCAAACGGATCAGCAGCAGGTCCTGATAAAATATTTCCTCAAATTTTTAAAGATCTTGTTAGTAAGTCGAATGGCAGTGCAGGACTTAATTTTCTGAAATCGCTTACTAAGCTGATAAACCTCATTGGAGATGGCAAAATACCGGAACCACTAAGACCTTTCTTTTTTGGCGCAAAGCTTATCGCCCTCATAAAAATAGACGGAGGGTTGAGACCGATTGCCATAGGCAACACGCTGAGACGTATCGCGTCTAAATGCGCTGGAAGCAAGGCCCTCTCCGAAGGACAAAATTTTTTCGGAAACGTACAGGTAGGATGCGGTACCAAACGAGGAGCAGAAATAGCTGCGCACTTGTTTTGAAACCTAATTGAACGCGACGACAATCCAAAATGTACTGTTCTTTCAAAACTAGATTTTAAGAATGCCTTTAACTCTTTAAACAGAGAAACAATGCTGAATCATGTTTTTTCAAATCGCCCCGAATTGTATAATTACACCCATTGCGCGTATGGTAAACCTAGTTACCTTTTTTACGGAAGCTCTGTCATAATGTCAGAAGACGGAACTTAACAAGGTGATCCTGAAGCCCCATCCCTTTTTGCGGAAACAATTCATACACTAGTCAAACAGTTGGAGTCGAAAATTAACATCTGGTATTTAGATGATGGGAATTTAGCCGACGACTATAAGGTAGTACTCCGGGACCTTAAAAACATTCTGAAATCGGAACAAATTTACGGCCTGAGCTTAAACACTGAGAAGTGTGAACTTTGTTTTTTGGGACCGACTACTAGTACACAGTATAATTCAATTTTAACACAATTTCGAAAAATATGCCCCAAAATGAAAATTAAAACAAAAGAAGAACTCCTCATTTTAGGATCTCCAATCGGCGAACTTTGCCGAAAAGAATTGCTCGACGAAAAAATTAGGGAGCTTGAAAAAATCTCGGATGTCATTGACAAACTAGACGCCCATTATGGTTTTTACCTCCTGAAAAATTGCTTTAGCATGCCAAAACTCCTATATTTTTTGCGTACGAGCCCTTGTTTTTTGCAAAATGAGTTTTTGGAACGCTACGATAAATTACTAAGAAATTCGTTATGCAAGGTCACTAACGTGAAAATGGATGATAACCAGTTTTTACAAGCAGTTCTCCCGGCAGCCAAAGGTGGCTTGGGCGTTTCTTCCGCTCGTCTACTCGCTTTACCCGCTTTCTTAGCCTCAGCAGTAGGAGCGAAAGATGCCTTGAGCGAAATCTTTGGTTTGGAGCATGTGGATGGAACCTATGATGATGCGCTTAAACGGTGGTTTGACCTTGGAAAAATTGAAATGGCTCCGGAAAATGAAATCCAAAAAAATTGGACGGAGCCAATTTTTGACAGCGAAATTGCAGACTTGATTTTACGACTCGAACCAACGGACGTAAAAAGGTTCAACGCTTTGCAAGATAGATTTGGATCCCAATGGTTGAACGTCATCCCCTACAAAAATTTAAGGTTAAAACTGTCGAACCAACAACTCAGAATTGCGATAGTACTTCGATTAGGATCAAAAATATGCGAACGGCATAAATGCGTGTGCGGAAAAGACGTTACTGAGGATGGTTGGCATGGTCTTTCTTGCCTCAAAAGTGCAGGGAGATTCTCTAGGCATTCAAACCTGAATGCCCTTATAAAGCAGAGTCTATCATCTACTCACATTCCGTCAGTTTTAGAACCACGACACCTCTACAGGACCGATCAGAAGCGACCAGACGGTTTGACGTTCGTTCCATGGGCTGATGGTAAGCAGCTCTTGTGGGATGTAACGGTAGTAGACTCCTTAGCTCCTTGTAGGATTAATGCCGGGTCTGTTTGTAACCGTGGTACGGCTGCCGCTGAAGCGGAAGAGCAAAAAATTGACAAATATAAAGATCTTGTAAATGATGGATATCTTTTTCAACCGCTAGCTTTTGAAATTCAGGGCGCTGCCGGCCCCAGCACAGAAGTTTTTTTGAGCAAGCTTTGTAAGAACCTAAGCATATGCACTGAGGAACCCAGAGCAGGCAGCTTTTTAAAACAGAGAATCTCCCTGGCAATACAGATATAAAAACTCTACTCAATTATACACAGATAGACAATTGTACGTTTAAAGTACTTGCTACAAGTTTTGTTCATGCAAAGTATCTTGTGAAATACTCTTGATGGTTTCAACCAAATGCTTAAAAAAAGAATAGAGGTTGTTTTATGGTTATAATTCTAGCTGTTTATGGTAAATGAGAGTCTAAAAGAGTTTGTTTGAACAATGAAATGAATGAAAACTTACACAGAAGAATAAATAAGACTACAAAAAATTAAAATCAAATATTGCGTACTCGGAACAATAAATGACAAAATAACTTTCGACGAAATTTTTTACTTGTAACACTTGTATATTATATTATCTCGTGTCGAGTTGCGTGTTCTTATTGAAGAAGCGTAACCCGTATCGATTTTAAATGAAAAGGACTTAAACACTTGACATCTTCTTTTATCATTATCACTTCCATATCTAGAAAATTCCAAGGATTTTGACTGGAATACATGGTGAAGGGACTCATGACTGTAACCTCGGTTACTATGATACTTTTGACCTTCTGATTACCTTTTAAAAAAAAGAAGATGACAAGTGTTTAAGTCCTGTCATTTATTGTTCCGAGTACGCAAGCGGCGTTCGCAATCTGTATTGCCAGGGAGATTCTCTGTTTTAAAAGGCTGCCTGCTCTGGGTTCCTCAGTGCATATGCTTAGGTTCTTACAAAGCTTGCTCAAAAAAACTTCTGTGCTGGGGCCGGCCGCGCCCTGAATTTCAAAAGCTAGCGGTTGAAAAAGATATCCATCATTTACAAGATCTCTATACTTGTCAATTTTTCGTATTCCGCTTCAGCGGCAGTCGTACCAGGGTTACAAACAGACCAGGCGTTAATCCTACAAGGAGCTAAGGAGTCTACTACCGTTACATCCCACAAGAGCTGCTTACCATCAGCCCATGGAACGAGCGTCAAACCGTCTGGTCGCTTCTGATCGGTCCTGTAGAGGTGTCGTGGTTCTAAAACAGGCGGAATGTGAGTAGATGATAGACTCTGCTTTATAAGGGCATTCAGGTTTGAATGCTTAGAGAATCTCCCTGCACTTTTGAGGCAAGAAAGACAATGCCAACCATCCTCGGTAACGTCTTTTCCTCACACGCATTTATGCCGTTCGCATATTTTTGATCCTAATCGAAATCCTATCGCAATTCTGAGTTGTTGGTTTGACAGTTTTAACCTTAAATTTTTGCACGGGATGACGTTCAATCATTGGGAGCCAAATCTATCTAGGAACGCGTTGAACCTTTTTACGTCCGTTGGTTCGAATCGTAAAATCAAGACTGCAATTTCGCTGTCAAAAATTGGCTCCGTCCAATTTTTTTGAATTTCATTTTCCGGAGCCATTTCAATTTTTCCAAGGTCAAACCACCGTTCTAGCGCATCATCACAGGTTCCATCCATATGCTCCAAACCAAAGATTTCGCTCAAGGCATCTTTCGCTCCTACTGCTGAGGCTAAGAAAGCGGGTAAAGCGAGTAGACAAGCGGAAGAAACGCTCAAGCCACCTTTGGCTGCCAGGAGAATTGCTTGGTTATCATCCTTTTTCACGTTAGTGACCTTGCATAACGAATTCCTTAGTAATTTATCGTAGCGTTCCAAAAAATCATTTTGCAAAAAACAAGGGCTCGTACGCAAAAAATATAGCAGTTTTGGCATGCTAAAGCAATTTTTCAGGAGGTAAAAACCATAATGGGCGTCTAGTTTGTCAATGACATCCGAGATTTTTTCAAGCTCCCTAATTTTTTCGTCGAGCAATTCTTTTCGGCAAAGTTTGCCGATTGGAGATCCTAAAATGAGGAGTTCTGCTTTTGTTTTT